CTTGCTTGCTTGCTTGCTTCCCTCCCTCCCGCCTTCCTTCCTTCCTTGCTTCCTTCCTTGCTCCTTCCTTGCTCCCTTCCTTCCTTCCTTTTCTCCTTCCTTCCTTCCTGGCCTTCGATCGCGTTTAATTATATTTTCACCCATGCAGTCATGATCACTTATGTGTTCGATCTTTCTTTCAACGATCTTACTTACTTAATTCCATCATACTTACCTCAAGCTCAATCTTGATTGACTGTTGAAAGATCTCATTCAGATCGTTTAAAATGAGTGAATCGTTGTAGGCCTTTGCTTCTGAGAGGTGRTCAAGAAAACATATATCCCGTGAATTTGATATGGTGTTTTTTCTTGGCACGACTTAAACCTGCCTGCGTGGCAGAAGCTACATAGTTTGATGAGAAGGGATCAGGAAAGAATTCATTCTCAGCATTTTCAGTTTTTTAAACCGGAAGGGGGACGAGGAAGAAACGATTTTTCATCATAATTGATCATTGATCGTGTAAGTAAAGGCAACATAATAATTAATTTGTTAGAATGGAGCAAAACGAAAAAAAAGGGGGGGTGGGGGGGGGGTCGTTTCAGTAACACTGCAAGCATGTGTACCACATACCTTGGCATACTTGGTTCTCAAGCATTTGACCATTATGGCAGCTGGTTTTATTGCCTCCATTATCAAAGAATGAAGACTGCAAGGCGTTATAGGGCATCATTCGGTCGGTGGTATATGGAACTCCTGCAAGCTCTCCTGCCTGAGATGTGAACGAAGGTTCACTGCATGCCAACAGTATATTGTTGATCTCCTGTAAGGATATTCTAGGTAGATTCGATTCATCAGATTCACATGCTTCTTGACTCGTATTTCCCTTCTCCATTCCCACTTGGTTCGACCAAGGAGTGTTGATAAGCGTGGCACTCATGTTATTTGACCGATACAAGCCGTTACTAGCCGCACATTGCGTRACATTCCTCTCAAAGTTAGTGCTAGTGTTACCCAGAGTACTGTCTGGGAAATAATGTACGTCACGCGTTGAAGACGTAAAGCCAGGCATCAACTTCTGCAGTGAACCATTTGGAATTCTAAAATTTGATATAGATTGCGTGACTGCCATATCGTTGACATCGTCAGATCGTAAATCGTTGTAATTGTTCACATGAACAGTCTTGCGATTTTGCATCACGCATTGTTGGATACTGTTAGGTGCCATCATACTATCGATTTTTGTCACGCCAAGAGCTGTAAAATCATGCGACAGACCGTTGAAAACCTTCATCTCTGTGTCTTGTGCATTACCACCAGGTAGGCTTTGAGTCACGCTCTGTGTCACGCTCTCTGTCACGCTCTGCGTAATGCCATGTCCTAAGACCACACCTTGTTTTATTTTTCTAGAAGTGGAATGGTATTTACCATTATTAACCAGTGGTGTGTTTAGCCGCCTTGTTGCAATTCCTCGTGAAGTGGTACGGCATCTATACTTTCTTTTCAACTCCTTTTTTGGGCGACGTTCTTCTTTGAGAAATAGAGAAGAACAATTAAATTGGAACATACTTCTTGGAGGGAAAGCTATTTTAGATTTTAATGGATTTTCATATCAAGTACTGATTATTCGCACGTGAATCATGCAATTTGAACCCCYCCCCCCCCCCCTTCTTCATCGCAACCGCTATGCTTCTTCATTCCTAACTATTAGTATTGCCATTAGTGAATTTATAACATATAACATTTTTGAAAATAGGGCAATTTAATTTTCAAGACAATTTCAACTTTCTGAGATTCAACTGCGCAGATATTTCAAAAATGATTAACCAGTCCAATGTAGGATGTAAAATTAAAGTAACCAAACGAATTTATAAAGTGTAATTGCATTAGTGTATTTAAATTCAGGGCTTAGTCTTTGTGTTTAAATGATGGCCTGATGTCATGTTTGTTATATTTCTTTGTTCTGACTAATTTTGCTATCTATATCCTTAGATTATTATTGTAAACTAAAGATTAAATTGTTTCTTTTTTTCTTTCCATTTTCCCTACTAATTCTTTTCCCAGGACTTAAAAGTCAAAACATTCTAAAAGCAGCATGTGTTTTAACATGTTTTGCCATTTTGTTGTAGATTAACAGTGGGAGGAAGTCAGAGGGTCAATATACACCTATTTTTTAAAAAAACATTGTCGGTCGGAGATCTGAAATCTGAGATAATTTCCAGGTCATCGCTCATAAATGGTGGCATATCATAGATATTAACTAGTTAAGAGGTCAAACCAAGACAGACTATTAGATAATTGAGGAGGGGGTTGCGTAAAACCCCAAAAATATAAAGCAAACCCAAATAACATTGTTACAAAAACTGAACCTGCGCTGCTGGCGGTCTGCGGAGAAACCATAAGTCAACTGTATGAGACATTCAGTCACAAAAAAGGCCAACTAGTTTGTCAAAAATTCTATTCTTAATTTAAACTATAAAATTTGAAAATTCTGCATGATCCTGACATGCTTGATTTTGCACTCACGCACACTAGCTATTATCCTTTAAGTAAATTGTCCATGATCAATAATAGAGTTCGATACCTGACTATGAATCAAAACTCTAGACGACCGTTTTCTCCGCACGGTTTCACGGCCACGTGGTGGGAGGATCGAACCTCACGTAATGACGTAACGTATAGGTTTCGTTAGTTTCATTGAACTACCGCATTATGAAGTCGTAATTAAAGAACACAATGGGTAAAGACCTAAATTCAACGTTTATTCAACAGCCCAGACAAAGATGATTCGAAAATATTATAGTACAAACAACTTTACTTCATGATTTAAAAACATCTACTTCCTGGGTTAATTAATATAGCAATCACTACCTTTTTTCGCAGTTCAGTTTTGATTGATTTGTTTTTTGTCCCTTTTTCTGTGTTTATTACTGAAGAACCTTTCTAAGGCAATATGAGCTTTGAATCTATCTATAAACGTATCTAGCTAGCCTGCGCTGCATCCGGAATTGGTAAACGTTCGGAGGCACGCAGGCTATATATCTAGCCAGAGTAAATTGGAAAGGTTTAGCGATGAACAGTTGCCGATCGGGATCGTGCATGCATATAGTTTGACATAGTAATCTTGGGATAGTAGAAGAGCAACTGACAGAGAAAAAGAAAATAATTAGGAAAAAAAGAGGCGAAACAAAAGAACGTAAATAAACAAAGGAAGAAAAGGTTAGAAAGAAAAAAATTGGAAGAAGAAATGAAAGACGAATAACGATTAAAGAAAACAAAGAGAAGGAAAATTATAAAAGAGGAAAAAAATCTAACTAAAAGGTATTGATATTATCGTGTTTTTCATCAGACAAGAATTCATTTCCTGGTTGTTTTTTTAAACTTTCGTGGGTTTTAAATCACTGTTAACTTCAAAGACTCGACAGTTTTAAATAGCTCGAGAAAATATTATTCTTCCGGGTTTCATACCGAAAATTAAGCAAAATAATTGAATAATGAGTGAAATTTAGAATTATAAAATTATTTTTTAATTCTGCTTCGCTCTTTGATTGAGGAAAAAAACAGGTAGATTTGATAGCTAATTCCTTCATAACGAGTTAAAACAAAATATTAATAAAAACATATGCTTTGGAACACACAAGTTTAAAGAGATATTTTAAGTTGAAATATTTGACTGCTTTAAAATTTAAGTTCCTAGCTCTTCGGAACTTACTATTCCATAGTCAGCGAGAATAAGAAGTAGCGGCTGAAAGAGTTTTTGAGCTTTTAATGTTTTTTCTTTTTCAACTTTTTTTTAACATCCAGTCCATTTAGTTACAGGTACTAACGACAYGGATGTCTTAGTTCTTTTGAAGGTTTTTCATAAAAACACATAGCAAAAATGAATTCCAATGAATTAATCAGATCAGTAATTTCTTGTTCAGTTGTCTTGGCGTTTCTATAATCGTTTTATTAGGAATGATTGACGGCAGCGAATAAAAACCAAATTTCAGCGTGCAAAACGCAGACACAGAGTTTGCATTTATGAAAATTGCAGTAACTTTGTGGGCGTCAAGACTTAGTGAATGTCGCATGTATTAAATTTGATCAGTTTAAATTGTAATTGAAACACCTGTAATAGCTGACCCCTTTATTTTACTAAAAGATTTTACAGATTCGTAGAATCATAAGTGGAATGCATGATACAGAACAAGGTGCATTGATTCAGAAGTACAGAAAAGATGGATATGTTAAAAGAATAAAGCATAAAAAGTATTTAACCTACCTTCTTTTTTAAATCTAAAAACCCTGAATGGTTGATGGCCATTTGTGTCATCAAGGTTGTTCTCTATTTTGATTTCCTCAATCTCAGACATCTTTCGTATAGCACATCTAAAACGCGTCTTCCATACCGATGGGTCGGTTCTCTCTCCTATATGATATCTGCCTGTAAATTCAGCCCACTTTTGAAAGAGCATTGCATCTCGAGGTAAATCAAATTCAGGGCTATCCACTCTCGTCCAGGGAACACGAAACATCGTCTTCTCTTCATCCAACCAGTAGACACCATTGACTTCTTGCTTATCGACCAGTTCTCGAAGCCAGTTTGGAAAGCGTTTGCGAGAAGTTTGCCTAACTGTCGTCATGACTTCGTTTCTAAAGAAAAATAACTTTCGGAACTTTAGTCTTTAACAAAAAACTTTTTCGCTTGCTTTCCTTTTCGTACTGACGCTCACCTTTAGCTAAAGATCCAACTTTTAACTTTCGTTTGTTTCTTACGGGAACTTCTATTGAAATGAACTTGACTCTGCCGGTAATCGTTCCAGTGGAGATGAATGAGATCTGATCCTTGAGCCAAATAAGGACAAACCTATTTAAAAGTTAGCCAAGGTACTTTTCCAAACTACTTAAGTTTCAGTCCAGCGAGTTACGTCACTCTCATTAAATAGCTCCTCAAGGCCTTGCTCAGAAGAGACCTGCGTAGAGAAGGCCCGCTGTTAACACGACCACCTTCGTTATTTCCGGTCTTTGTAACTTATTTTTTGCTTGCTACTTGCTAGACCTAGAAAACACTATTGCTATTGCTACCAAATAGATATATATTTTTCGAAACTGTTTTGCGACGTTTAGAAAATTGTTGAATGGATGTTAAAACAGCATCATACCGACCTTTTGTTGAGTCAGGAATGCGGACATGGTACGCTCTGATATCTTAGTAAGCCCATTGCGAGTTAAGCTTAAACTTGTTCCTTCTTCACGTAAGTAATACGTGCTTTGTCTATGGCTTTCGGAGAAATGTTGAGACCATGATCAAGTCGAGAGGGAATTAACCACCTGATATCGAGCACTTGATAGACATCGAGACTAAGAAGCGAGTAGACGGAAGAGGAGGAGGGAAGAAAGAGTGGGAGCCTGAAGAAGTAGTAGTGTGAACTGTTGGGCGGAAGTAGGTAAGCCAAAAACGGAATGACATCAAACTCAAAAGAAGCCTTTTTTCTATAGTTTTGTTTAAAAAAAATGAATGTGATTTGGTTCGCATTAGGTTAGAGCACTGAAATACAAAGTGCCCGAGGCGCATCTTCGGCAACTTAATATCCACTTCAATTTTACTCACGTACTGTACTTTACAAACAATATGTGACATGTCATTAATTTGGCCGACCGCCTATTGGAAAGCTACATGTAACACAACTAGATACTTTATTTAAGGTCTGTTATCAATAATTGTATCATAGCGTGGGACACGGCGGGAATTTTACGTTCACTGTAGTGTTAAATTTAGCACTTTCCTGCGGTCCAAGAGGAAATATTTGATGTTTTTGAAATTATTTTTGATCAAATTAAACTTGTTTAACTGTTGAAGTACGCTTTAAATTCCCTGTATACCCGTGTATTCATGCCGATAAATGCGCACTGCTTAAATCCCCTATCTGTCCCGTGATTCCGGGGGCTACAATTGACTAGTGCAAGACACACTGCATGATAGAGCGCGGAGATAATTGTTAAGGTATTCGATATCAAGTGCAACCATAGTCTCTCCTTGAAACTTATCGTTATCTTCATTAATACGACGGATATGGCAACAACTCCTCGATTTTCTTGTCGACGCAAAAGTAAACGTACTACATTCTTATAATATTCAGTAATTAGGGAGGCTCTGGGTAGTTTTGGTCTGGCACACCTAGCCGCATTGAAACGGCTACAACTTCATTCAAATAGTTCCTTGTTGGTTGTTGTTACATTCATAATAGTTTGTCTTATCAACCATAAATTTAATAAATATGATCCGGCTACAACTTCGTCTTGAATAACTCGATCTGCAAGCGCTTTTCACACAATGTCAGGAAAGGATTAAAGGTTTCAAAAATGGTAAATTTAGTTTAAAGCGGCCTTTTCATTATGACGTAACGATGACATCATAGAAATCGTTTACCGCTTATTTTCTCGAAAACTAGACCTAAACTTTCAAAGCGACTTGCACCAGTCGATAGTATTCTTCAAGGCACCTAACATATTGCAAGGTGTAGCCATTTCAATGCGGCTAGGTGTGCCAGAACAAAACTACCCAGAGCCTCCTTAATACTCGGAAAAAACGTAGGAGGAGCGCCTCCTATACTTTATTCGTCAGTTAGTTTACGACAAGCTGCTAAAGATTAATTTATTCCTCACGTTTCCTACCCCTCTTATATTGATCGCCTCTCTCGATACGAGACATCGATGAATCTAAATTTTCGCTCGCTTAGTTGATCCATAGTTAATAAAAATTAACTATGGTTGATCAAACGAGAGAAATCTTACCGAATGATACATGCACTGTTTTAGTCTCCCTCGCATCCGTTTTTTGACAGACACTAAAAACGGATGTTTACTGTTTAAACAGTATTAATTTCTGTAAGTTTTTTTCGGAATCGGATCTATCGATTAACGTGTTGAGATGTGAATTTACCTGTCAAATGATAGAACATAGTCATTCCCCGGGTGTCGGCATTGTCGAGGAGCTATATTACACGTGTCGTGCAGCAAAAACTCCAAGTTTTTTTTACCTGAGCTACTTTGCTACAGACATCGATGAATGTATAACATTTATCAAGATTCCTTATGTGTTGACTAGAGGATTAATGGATTTATAATACAGTCAACAACATTACTCGATTCTGATTGGACAAGAGGAGTACACTTAAATCGTTAATTGTACTCTGTATAGTCCCAAATAAGTCGCTCAATTTTGTTGAGTGTATTATGAACGAAAATCACGATGTAGTCGTACAACTCGGAATTGATAGATACTCGTTATGTTTTGAAAGTTATCCAATTTTGAAAAATTTCAAAAAATCAATCCGATTTCTTATACTAATTAACTAAAAGTTTGACGGGCGACCTCAGATGATATCCCTGCTCATTCCTTAAAAGTTAAACAAAGTTATTTAAAAACTGATTCACCTTGTTTGCACATGACCATAGTTAATAAAGGGAGAGTCCCCTCAATTAACTATGCCATATGACGCACTAGAATGACGTCTTTGTACCTTCTTAGTATCGAAAGGTACGATTGAGTGTAACAAGATTCCGACACGCCGCAGCAGGTTACAAGCACGCTAGTCATCATCGAAGGGTATCTTTTACAATCTAACCTTGAATACTTGCAACTTTCAACAGCTATTAATTTCCTAGCTTCCGATCCGATGTTAAATGTAGTTCCACGACGCGAGATGCCGGCAGTCAAAGGTTTTTTTGGGCTAGTCAAGATGCAAAGTGGAAACTTTTCCCATGTTTTGCTATTTGCACAGTTGTATTTATTAACGCAGTCTCGATTTCAACGGCAGGATCGTATTTCGTCGCTTTCACTGAATGACTTTCGGATTCAGTCACTGGACATTCCTAATTGACCCAAGGCCACCCTAATTATATGTACTTGAAACACTTCAAACCAATATTGTGAATTAGCTGGTTTTTATCAGGTTTTATTTACTTATTAGGGCACAACTAGAAATACAGTACTTTGATAAATATACTTGGAAATTTTGTTGAGGAATAAAGGTAACAAAGCCAAACTCGACTCAGTATCGAGATTCAGTGGCGCTTGATTGTGCTACCTTTAATATCAAAACCATACTCCTTATCTGATAGCGTTTTCAATGGCAGACTTCAAATCAGGAAATTTAAAACTATATCCAAGTTTTAATGTTCGCTTTGGTATGACCTTTTGTCCTTGCAGCATAATCATTCCACGTACAGACCCAAACACCGCATTGATCATAAAAGCTGGCACAGGAAAAATGGCTGGACGATGAAGCGCACTTGCAAGTTGGTTTGTATAATCTCTATTGGTTGAGATTTCAGGGGCAACACCGTTGAGTACTCCTGTCACGTGATCATTCTCGATGGCAAATACGATGATGTCACATATGTCCTGTACGTGGATCCACGGAAAGGCCTGGTTCCCGCTCCCCACCACACCTGTTAAATATCAGACATCCTGTTATGGTTAAGTAATTAGTTCCTCACGATAGCAACCTGACTTAACAGTCTAGGAGTTCAAACGCGGGAAATTATATCATCAATGTAAGGTAACTAAAAAAACAACGGTTTTGGTGCTGCGTGGGTAATATTTTCTTAATGCAAGTGCTTCCGTAACCTCCTATGCTGACCTGCTTAGGAAGCTAGTGCGAAGTAGTATCTCCACATGCCATACTTTAAAAAATGTGAAAATTTAAAATATGCAAGATTACTCTTTAGCACACCGGCCACAAAATACTTTCACTATCATCCTACATCTTCCTAGAACACAATTGTACTGCCGTCGCTACAATATTTACTGTCGCTACAGTATTTGTTGGATGTCGAAAAGGGAGATTCGAAGAGATTCATTTTATGGTTGAAGTAAAGTTAAAAGGAATGAGAGGGAAGGGGATTTGTTTATACCCTCGAACCCCCCTGAAAACGGACCTGTTGTTCCGAATTAAATCTAAAAAGAAACTTGACCCTCCTATGAGTTTCTTAACTAAAGCAATATGATCCAGCCCAAACAGAGATTGAATTTAGCTCATGCTTTGTAATCTTGCAAAGGCTACAATCTTACTTTTTGTGGTCTTTTGTTTATTGCAGAAAAAAAGGGGGGGGGGGGGGTGAAAACCTCTGAAGCCTTTGCCTTGCCACTCCCCTGAATTGGTACATGCAACAATACCCCAATTTTCTCTTGGTTGTTTTTTTAGCAAATTCATCAGGCATAGAAACCATTTTCCTTAACTTTCCATTTAGGAATCACAAAGAAATACTTTGGTTGCATCTAACTCAGTAAGATGTCTGTTCTTTTTTAAATATCAGGCACCTACTTTTTTAATAATATTATTGCACAGAAGGAAAGACCTAGGCATACACAGTCTGCTTTCTCAAAAAAACAGGAAGACTTCTTGAGCACAATATTACTCATGACTTTGTTATCAGACTTTAACTCTAACTCCATCAGTGACTCATACAACCCACCTCCTACTCCGAGCCAAAAAGGCCAGATTGTCTGTTGGACTATTCCTCCTTCTTTTCCCAACACCACACCTATTCGAACAGTAGCAAGTCTTGTCTTACAGCTCTCAGGGAGTTCAGCACTGGCTTCCCAGTCTCTACAGAGGCATGTCAATGTATCTTGGTCACTGGGTGGGGTGTCTTCTGTGTATTCTGCTGTTTCACTTGGTGGGTAATAGCCTATAAGAAAAATATTCACAAAATACATAATGCTTTATGTTGTGAGGGTCTCCAGAGTACCAAGTAAGTCGTCAGTCATGATGAGCAGCCTAATTAGTTTTAAATCAGTCATATCTCATTTCTGGCTAAACATTACTGGTCAAAATTATGGCAAGGCAAAGATTCAAATGGACAAGTTCCAATTTTTGGCAGACACTGTCTGGTGTGTGGTGTGTGGCCACGTTGTGTGCTATCATAAAACATGCACTCTCAACCAATCAGAACTTGAGATTTATAACAGTTATTTTATCAAATTTAAATAAGTATTTCAGTATTCAAGATGGGTCAAGTAGTCCATATACTGTAAGTGTAAAAAAACGTCTTGGAAATTCCAAATTCCTCTGTGGTGGTGGTAGGGTATGAATAATTTCTAGAACTGCACAATACCAGGATATATAATATTCAAGTACATCACATACCAACAGCAGAGGAGCTGACAAACACCTTAGGAGGATTTTCTGCAGCAGCAATCTTCTCTGCAAGTAGCTTAGTTGTATCTACCCTACTCCTTCTGATATCTTCTTCATATTTTTCATTCCATCTAAAAAATCAGTATCAAGTAAAGATTTTGTCTTGAATTTTTCACACCAGTACTGCAAGTAAGGTTTACATTGGGAAATATAACAGAATAGCATGCAACAAAAAAATATAAATAAATGATTTCTCCACATTATATTGCATAAGGAAATATAAAAGGTTAATCCTAATCTCCTAAATTGAATTAGGAATTTACAAGTCCATTTTTGTGGAGGGATGAAAACCAAAAAACCTGGACTGAGAAAAACCCTCAAAGTTAGGGACAGAATCAAGAGAAGACTAAAAGTGGGTGGCTGAGATTTGAAAATGAACAGAATATTAGCACAATATTGGGGATTTAGCTCCCCAGTTATATTCTGTCCATAGTCCTTGTGCAAAGGAAAATTGTAGGATTCTATCTGTGCCTGCATGTTATTGAAAGGGTGTCTTTAAATCGTATGATCCATACCTTCTTAGAGGATTCAATATATTCTCCCCAGCAAGATTAACAACAGCTGTACAATCTGGCAAGCCAGATGCACTCACTTCATCCTGCAATCAGAAACTAAACATGAATTCATACATCAAGCACATCAAGCACCCAAGCACCCATAGGGTAAATTTCATATGACTCAAAGTATGGATTGGCAGTGACTTAACCATGATGGTGCCATACAGTGGGGGAGTGGGGGGTTGGGAGGCAAATGCTAACCCCAAAATTTTTTAATAAACTTGTAAATATGGCAGGACGTTTTAAAGATGAAACCTGTATGCAAAACCCCTAAGACCAAGACTATGCACACACCTGTTGCCATGTCTGAGCATATGTTTCAAGTGTATGAGCAATGATCATGCACACCAGTTGTGATTGGATCATATGATGATATCAACAAAATGAAACTATTTTTTATGAAACATTCAGATGAAAGGTCTGCTACCAATCAGAGCCTTGGTACTTTGATGGTTCCATGTACCATGACAATAATTTCAAAGTCAAATAAGAATTTACTTTAATGAAGAATTAGTGAGATAATCACCATAGGGTTGCATCATGTGTCAATGACATGGAATAGGCCTTTTGCAACAGTCACATGCTGATACATCACTTTGATAACAAATCAATTCAGCTCAAGGTCCCTTGGGGAAGGCTCTGATGATGGTAAACAAACTTAAACTGCTTTGTATCTTGAAATCGAAAGTATCTTACAAGGGAAAAAGTATTTTTTTTTTTAAATTTTGGGTACGACATTAGTAATCCAGCAAAAAATCTTGAAATAAATAAAATTCATATTTTTTGCCATCCAGTAACAATCAAGTGTCAATCTATTGCAAAAGGCCTATTAAACAGAATACAAAGATGACACAGCCATAAATGGGTTTTCTTTAAGCCAGCAGCTCATACATGGAAAGGGATCATGGGGAATCCTTGGGTGCAGACTATTACTTCATGTATGAGAATATATATGAAATATATATTTGTACTGTGGTTGTAAGGTATCGAATGGAGCTGATCCTCACATCATATGAAGCAACTTATGCAGCTGCAGACTATTACTTTATGCAAAGTACAAGATTACATTAAGAAGTACATTTTATACCCAGGTTATTTTGCCAACTCCTTTTGTTCTTGAGATAATCTGTACATCATACCCCTTTGCTTTAAGAGTATTTTTCAGCCTCTTGCCAACGAATCCTGTTCCTCCTCCTAGAAAAAAGTATGGCAGCTGTCTTACAGTAACTACATCAAACGCGAAAATATCTAAGTATCAGCTCTCACATGCAGGGAGCCCAATTTAGATAAAAGTGAAAATAAAAATCGCTAAGAGTATTTAAAACATATTTTACAACCACCAGTAAGGGGCTCTTCTGTGGGGATCCCTCCATAGCACTACCACCACATGCTATATTTACGACATACACTCAATTCACATGTTGATTTTTACGGAGGGAGGATCAAATTGGAGAACCAGAGAAAACCCTTTTGCCGAGGGAGAGAAAAACACATAAAACAAACTCACATTTGATCAACAGTCTGAGCCGGGGCTTCAACCCAGACCACAGCGGTGAGAGGCGATCAGTAAACCACCATGCCAATCATATTAAAGGAGCATATATTGATGACATGGGATACCATAGGGGAATACTCCATTTTACAGTTCCCTTTAGTGAACACGAATAATAGTTTCGTGCCAAGGTTAGAGTTTCCGCGCATAGCAAATGGTTTATCATGCGTAGCAACTCCAGCCTCGGCTTGGAACTACTATTCATGGTCACTGAACGGAACTGTGAAATGGAGTGCATACATCGTTTATTTGATAAAGCAGGTTACAAAAAATAGGCAAGACAAGAGTCCTGATGTGGACCTGCATAATCTAAATGTACAAAGATAAAATAAAATTGATAGCTAAATTATATACAAAAAACAAAAACAAAACAAAAACAAAACAAAAAACAACAACAACAACAACAAAAAAACATGTTCTAGTGCTTTTTTGATTGATTTTGTCACACGTTCGTACAAGACGGGGGAAAGAATAAAATCAAATAGAAGTAATATCAAGTCCAATTTAAGCTAAGAAACGTGAAAAGTTATGCAATAGCCCAAAGAACATGCAAGATGCCCTCAATCCTTACCGATCACGACCTTCATGTTCTTCTGATTAGACGAACTAAGACACCTAAAACGTATTAGTGTTTGGATTGCATCTTTAGGTGGTCTTTTTGTCAAATAAATCCGTGATTTCCATAACGCTTGCATGATCAGATTATCAAAACAAAAACAAAATGGCTTACTCAGCGCCAGACTACCAAGTACAAGCATAACCAAAGGCAGCCCAATATTTTAAAAAGGGATTTTAAAAACGATAAACCCTCAAATTGCAATAAAACTTTCCCATGCTAGAAGATCGTACACAATAAAAGAAATAGCTGTGGCAAAGTTTACAGCAAATTATGCAGAGAAACGTTTTATTTTACAAAGCATACGCACGAACCGTGTTTGGGCTGCCTGAGGTAGGATGTGGCGGAGAGAGAATAGAATCRACAACACTATCAAACCAACTGCGCATGCGCCAGTCCAAATTCTTCAACTTCAAAAATGGCGGCTTTTTTTTACGAAGAAAACATTTCACTTTCTTTGAACTTTGACGGTTTCTGTGATGATTATTAACAAATGCTAGGGAATACACTGTCTTAGCATTCTCATACAGGACTTATCTTGGTATCTTGTAGCTCTTTGTGTCGTAGGAGTGTTTTTTCCAGATGTTTTTGAGCTGTAGTTGACGTCTTGTACGGATTGTCGTATTGGGAATGAGAAGACCCTCTGTTTGAGAATCAATGGCCTATACCTTAAAGGGGAGTATTTAGTTTGGCATGCCCTCATCGGTAAACATGGATTCTTTTCCTCCTGATCAAGTAGAAGATGGAGGTATGTGAAGGATAGAGAAGTAACACTTACAGCTATACTTATTGGTAGTAAACTTTAAGATTTGTATACCAAGATATAATCGTACATGTATAATCCTGATCTTTTCGCTAGTTTTTGTTCTTTTATCTAATCTTCAGTGTTATCGAAGTATTAAGACATCCCCTTTTGACTAAATAAATAAATCTTATTGTGGAGGCTTTTGTGTAAACACAGTGTAAACAAACTTAACAGCTGTTAAAATGTGTTGTCTTGGTTACATACCGTATACTGCATTCCACCTGTTGCACGCGTTAACATTGTAACCATGTAGATATTGTTAACATTATTATTTACCTGCAGTCTAACAAAATATTGTTGTTTGATTGATTATATATCATATATTATATATTATTGATTATATATTATATATTATTGATTGTTTAGGGAGTTGGTTGATTGATTATCATATACTATATATTATATATATTATTGATT